AAGAAGTGTGTGATCTCAAAATGCGGAAGCCAAACTATGATGGTAATTGAATGTTTAAATACATATTTTGTTCCTAATTGTTGCGCAGAGAATCGGACTCAAATGATTCTTCAAGCAATTGTTCCCAGTTCAATGTATCAGCTATGGATCTGCTGCCCAGTACACCAAGAAGGTAGGCGGAGAATCTGACTGGATACATGAGTGGTGGTTTTCGAGCTTAGACCTCGGTTGTGGACAGGAATTAAGGTTATTAATGGTTGACAACATTCCAATCTAAGAAGTCTATAACTTTGAATTAACTAGATTCATGGATATACTGCCACTTCTACCGAAACAGAGAATTGACAAAAGATGAAATAATGTTTATATTGATCTACATGTTAAGGCGGGGACTGGAATCCACCTGAATTAGCCATCGAGAGTCGAAGGTGGTTAAAGAGATGTGCATAGTACATAGTGAATCTGGATAATCCTCGGCAAGTTCATATAATTCATTTCTTTGTGATGGATACTGCACTATTGGCATTTGACTAGACTGGCATGTGATAGTTTTACCCCAAGGACAATATTGTATTCAGCAGCACAATACACTACATAATTTGTGCTTGATTATTATTAAGAATCATAATAGATAGTTAATTCCAATCGATTGAATCTATCAATGTTTCATATGTTCGGACAATATAAGCAAGCACATGTGCATAAGCGATCGGAACCTGATCTTCCCCTTTTTTATGACACGCTAAACCCTTTTGGGTCCTCAACGGACGCGCCGGACGCAAAAAGTAATTGTCCTCTTATTTCTCCAGCTTTTCCCTCTCTTCCCTTACCCCCTTTCCCACTTTCATTTCTTTAGCTTTCTTTACTTTCATTCCTTTCCTTTCCTTCATTTGGCCTTTCTTGTTTTGGCGGTTTGCTGCAGATTACTGCCCCCGTCGAAAAGAACAGGTTGCCTTCCGCTATCTTTATCTTCAATTCATCGATTTGGTTTGAGAGTACAACCTAATCTTGTCACAATGGCGTCCGAAATCCTCAAACATGTCTCCGTCCCCACTATCGATCGACCCTTTGGTGTGCACCTGTGGCCCCTCTTTGACCAGGCCTACGAGAAGGTCATGGGGTATCCCGCCAGCGAGTTCGCCTTCACCGAGGGGGTGACCCCTCTGTCCACCCTGAAGGAGACTACAATGATGCTTGTCACCTACTACGTTATCATTTTCGGTGGCCGCGAGGTCATGAAGAAGTTGCCTGCGTTCAAGCTCAACACCTTGTTCATGATTCACAACTTCCTTTTGACCACTGTCAGCGCTATCCTGCTGGTCTTGTTCATTGAGCAGCTGGTCCCCACTCTCTGGAGACATGGAGTCTTCTATGCTATCTGTGATCAGCAGGGTGGTTGGACTCGTCCTCTGATCGTTCTATACTACGTAAGTTACGAAGCGCTTGGACCATCAGAAGAAGAGGAACTGACAACCTCGATTAGCTCAACTACATCAACAAATATGTCGAGTTCATTGATACCATCTTCCTGGTGCTCAAGAAGAAGCCATTGACCTTCCTTCACACCTACCACCACGGTGCCACCGCTCTCCTCTGCTACACTCAGCTTATTGGTGTGACTGCCGTACAGTGGGTGCCCATCACTATCAACCTGCTGGTCCATGTCGTGATGTACTGGTACTACTTCCAGAGCGCCCGCGGTGTTCGCATTTGGTGGAAGAAGTACATCACCATGCTGCAGATCGTCCAGTTCGTCATTGACGTCGGTAAGTGATTGAGGCTCCAGAAACCTGCAAAGAATGGAATACTGACAGTTTCAAGGCTTCATCTACTTCGCCTCATACACCTACTTCACCTCTGCTTACTTCCCGTGGCTCCCTAACATGGGCAAGTGTGCTGGTGAGGAGTTCGCTGCCATGGCTGGTATCGGCATCATCAGCTCCTACTTGGTCCTGTTCATCTCCTTCTACATTGCCACGTACAACAAGACGGCCAAGACCGGACGTCCCCGCCGCAACACTGGCCAAAAATCGTTGATCGACATGAGGAACTTCGAAATTCCTTCCCCAGCTGGTACCCAGAACGGCAGCGCCAATTCCACTGGCCGCTCCAACGGCCCCGTGACACGCTCTCGCAAGGCCTAAATAACCAACCGAAGCACAGTCGAGTCTGAATGTTTTCAGCGTGTGATTTGGAAGAATTATATTGCTCCCCAAGTTTGATTGTCGAATCATCTTAGGATGAGCCATTAAACTGGAAATTCATCCAATGCTTGCGGCCAAACAAAACAGCAGGGCAGAGTGCTGCTCTTGGGTGATGCGTCCCTATATTTGTTTAATGAATGACCACCTCATGATGCCAGGTCCCTTACCCGAGCATGGGGTATGTGCCTCGGATTGCGCCGAAACTTTTGTCGGAAAGCCTACAGGGGGAATGCTGTTGGATTACCCTAACCCCAGTGCTCTCGTCATGGTTGTATTTTATAATGTCGTTTTCTTCTTCTGTTCATGGTTGTCGTTATCACCCTCTGTTTGGTGGCCATGGGATTGTACCTTTCGCCCTTATTGTTATTAAAGTATTCATTGATAGACGTTAGCTCATAATATCAAGATAAATGTAATCATGCCTGCTCCTTAGACCATAGTGTGATTGGGAAAGAGACGATCGGCAGGTCAGATACCGTATCCATGGATGGCTCGGATCCGGTCAGCAAGGCGTGTTGATTGCCTATGCTGTCAGCACCTTCAGCAAAGTCGGGATTCGAGATGCATCATGCAGACACGGTCTGTATCTCGAGAGACAATTCAGCCAGACCGTCTCTCGAGGCTATTTATTACCATCCATTTTGCCACACAATTGAAGCCAAACAAATACCCAGCCTGTTGATATGGCAACATAAAGCTTATATACTCACCTCCGCAACACAATGTGCAGTATCACACTGGAGACTGCCACGGCAGAAGCAAAAACGCAGGGACAGGAATCGCCTGGAGTTTAGATGCGCACCATGGCCTGTGCGACGAAGCACGACTAACGCCACGAAAGTGATGTATCTCATATGCCCTGGACATTGACCCAGTTAGCAAGCCGATCATTAACAATGTACCGAGTGAACGAAACGGGCAGAGCCTCAGCCTCCAGAGAGAGAAGCCCCCCCCCCCCCCCCCCCCCCCCCCCCCCCCCCCC